AGAGAGAGAGAGAGAGAGAGAGAGAGAGAGAGAGAGAGAGAGAGAGAGAGAGAGAGAGAGAGAGAGAGAGGAAATCGCTTATCGCCATCGCTCATTGATCGGACCGTGCAAGCAATTGAGCGGGCGATCGCTGGTTAATCAACGGATGGACGACGAAGGCAGCCTGGATATTGAAGATTCAGTCACAAGATAGCAGAGGGGAGAGAGAGAGAGAGAGAGAGAGAGAGAGAGAGAGAGAGAGAGAGAGAGAGAGAGAGAGAGAGAGAGATGAAATCGCTTATCGCCATCGCCAATTGATCGGACCGTGCAAGCAATTGAGCGGGCGATCGCTGGTTAATCAACGGATGGACGACGAAGGCGGCCTGGATATTGAAGATTCAGTCGCAAGATAGCAGAGAGGAGAGAGAGAGAGAGAGAGAGAGAGAGAGAGAGAGAGAGAGAGAGAGAGAGAGAGAGAGAGAGAGATGGAAGTTGCTTATCGCCATCCCAATCACAAGTAGAATGACATCAGTCAGGTCCGGACGAGGTTGGACGTCGTGAAAGACACAGGTGGGGGGAAAGTCGAACAGTGAGCGGTCGAGAGAGTCGGGAAAACGAGCGGGTCATTCTGGTGGGCACTTTCTCCGGGCCGAAAAAAAAAAAAGTTGTGCGGGTTTTGTTCCCTTCTTCTTCTCTCTCCTTTCCTATTGAGAGTGAGAGAGGGTTAGGTCATCGTGCCAACGGCCTCCCAGATAGAAGTTCTTATTCCAAAAAGAGATCGTTTGGGGAGGGGAGGGGGGGGGTGTTTGAAGTGGCAGATCCTGTTCTCGGAGAATGATTGGAGAGTGAGAGTGAGAGAGATCGGGCCACGGTGCGGTGCTGCCGTTAGGAAGGAGGCTTGAGTCGAGAGAACCCATATATCCCTAGACGAAGAGGGACCTCCGAGGAGGGGACCTGCGAGGAGGGGACTACCGAAGCGGAAGCATATGCAGTTGTAAGAAGAATATAAAGCCGGGAAGAGTGACGTAAGAGTGACGTTGCGCTACCTCTTCCAAAGAAGACGGGACTTGATCTTCTACTACAACAGGTGGGCTTGCTTCACCAAGAATACCCTCGGCTCTGTTTAAACCACCAGTACTTGGCCCAGCTATCGGCCGTGGAAAAAAATAGAGTAGAAACGTTTCTACTCGGATGAATTTGGTCGCTCCTGTAGTGGCCCGTACGTTTCCTAAAATTGTCGCGCGTTAACGGGCACGACTCCAGGAAGTACTGCAGTGGTTTACGCAGACGGAAGGCCAGCCCTCCGACGAAAACGGCGACGGCCTTGAGGCTTGAGGTATTTCAGGATTGAACTGACCGGCCCTTTTTGTAGGTAATTCAGGATTATACAGTATGTGAATCATCTTCTTTCATCTGGATTCGAAAAGGGGTCTGTATTACAACAGTTCAGGGGTGGGGACCAACTGAGCTAGGCGACGGACACGTGGCGTCTCTACATCGTGTAAGGGTGTCACTGCAAGTGGCGTCTGTATAGATCGGAAATGGATGCTTGAGTGAGTCAGGCCGTGATCGTTTGTTGTGGTCGTCTGCAAGAAGGATGAGCGGGATAGCAAGCGGTAAGGGTGGAACTTTATGTGGCGTCCGTACAGATCGTCCGTACATCGCGAGCAATCAATAGTGCACGTGCTGTCCACGTGGCACGTGTACATCGACAAGGAATCAATAGATAGATGGTTGAATGAGTCGGGTAACGAAAAGTTGTTGACGTGTCTGTAAAAAGACGCTGAATCGGGCCATGATTGGTGTTGTCCTGTCAGTAAAAAGACTACAAGAAGGGTGATGCGCTTAAGGGTGCAGAGTCCACGTGGCGTGTCTACATCCCCCGGAGGACTAGATCACAAGAGAAGACGAGGAAGGGAGAGGATAGGTGTTGTCCTGTC